AGAAGGATGTCTTTTCGGACTCTGTAATGCCCCGAAACATTTCAGCGATGTATGCAAGCTATATTTTCAAACATGGTTGAGGATTTTCTAGAGATTTTCATGGATGACTTTTTTGTTTGTGGGAACGATTTTGAGCGATGCCTCGACAATTTAGCAAAAGTTCTCAAAAGATGCAAAGAGGCCGAGTTGGTCTTAAATTGGGAAAAATGTCACTTCATGGTGACTGAAGGTATTGTATTAGGCCATAAAATTTCACACAAGGGTATTGAGGTGGACAAGACGAAGATTGAAGTGATTGAAAAGTTTCCACCACCAACTTCGATCAAGGGTATAAGAAGTTTTCTTGGACATGCTGGATTCTATAGAAGGTTTATCAAAGACTTCTCCAAGATTTCTAAGCCCTTGTGCACATTGCTTCAAAAAAACCAACCCTTTGTGTTTGACGTGTTATGCCTCGGCGCATTCACTAAGCTGAAGCAAATACTAATCTCTGCACCCATTGTAGTTCCTCCTGATTGGACATCACCATTTGAGTTGATGTGTGATGCAAGCGATTATGTCGTAGGAGCTGTTTTGGGATAACACCGAGGAAAATTTTTTCATGTTATTTATTACTCTAATCGCACTTTAAATGAAGCACAATTGAACTACACCACCACTAAGAAAGAATTACTTGTCGTGGTATTTTCTTTTGATAAATTTAGACCTTACCTAATAGGCATTAAAGTCATTGTTCACACTGATCATTCAACTATAAAATACTTAATGAACAAAAAGGATGTCAAGCCTAGACTTATTAGGTAGATCTTACTTTTGCAAGAATTCGACTTAGAGGTGTTAGATAGAAAAGAGACTGAAAATCAAGTTGCTGATCACTTATCTAGGCTAGAGAACAATTCTGAATGTCATGACACTAGATATTCAAGAGGAATTTCCTGATGAGAAAATTTTATATACAGCGGCAATCCCGTGGTACGCTGACCTTGTTAATTTTCTTGTTAGTGGAATTTTGCCTTTTGATTTAGACAGTCAGGCTAAAAAGAAATTCAAGCATGATGCAAGGTACTATTTTGGGATGAGCCATATTTATTCAAGCATTGTGTCGATCAGCTCATTAGACGATGTGTACCCGAAGAAGAACAGCGCAACATTTTGTACCATTGTCATTCAGCCCCATATGGAGGCCATTTCGGTGGAGCAAGGACTGCTGCTAAGGTCCTGCAATCAGGCTTTTATTAGCCAACTCTATTGAGATGCCCAAGCATTTTATAAAGCTTGTGATCGATGTCAGCGGACTGGAAACATATCCAAATGTCATGAAATTCCACTGTAAAATATTTTGGAGATAGAGTTGTTTGATGTGTGGGGCATCGATTTCATGGGACCATTCCCATCTTCTGAAGGAAAATTATATATCTTGCTTGCTGTGGATTATGTGTCAAAGTGGGTGGAAGCAATAGCAACATAAAGGAATGACTCTAAGACCGTGCTCAAGTTTCTGCACAAGTATATTTTCACTCGGTTTGGAGTACTTCGTGCTATCATAAGTGATGAGGGAACCCACTTTGATAACAATTTGATTGCTAGGTATTGAAGAGATATGGAGTTCGACATAAGATTGCCACGGCATATCATCCAGACAAATGGCCAAGTTGAGATATCCAATCGAGAGATCAAGCAGATTTTAGAGAAAGTGGTGAACCCAAGGCGTAAGGATTGGTCGCCAAAGTTGGATGAAGCACTTTGGGCATATAGAACAGCATTCAAGACTCCTTTGGGGATGTCACCCTTCAAGCTAGTATATGGGAAAGTTTATCACCTCCCGGTTGAACTTGAACATAAAGCTTATTGGGTCATCAAGCAATTGAATTTTGATGCTCAACTAGCTGGGGAAAAGAGACTACTGGAACTTAATGAAATGGAAGAGTTTAGAGCACAAGCATATGAGAATTCTCGAATTTACAAGGAGAAAACCAAGAAGTGGCATGAGCAGAAATTGATGCCACAACATTTTCATATGGGCCAACAAGTCTTGCTTTATAACTCCAGACTTAAACTTTTTCCTAGAAAGCTCAAATCTCAATGGTCAGACCATTTGAGGTGCATTATGTCTACCCCCATGGAGCTGTTGACATTAAAAATACATATGGGACAATCTTTAAAGTTAATGGCCAGCGTCTCAAAGCCTATACTGGAGTTCCACCACCGCACAGCAAGGAAGTATTACATCTGCACGATGCTGAAGCGTGCCTAGAGGAAAACCAAATTTCAATGCCACATCATTGAATTTGTGTCTGTTCATAAATAAAAATTTTAAATTTTCTTTTCTTTTATTTCGTAAATAATTTTTGATTTGATTTGTAGGGACCACAGTGCTACAAACCGTGCAAGGAGCGGTTACCAAAGAGAGGAAATGACAACACATTAATTGGAGAGATATTCTTTTGATTTGTTTCTTTTAATTTATTTTATTTCTGACATTTATTTTTCTCTTTCCTCAGGTTTGTCCTATCATCATCATTACCTTTTGGTAGTTTTTTATTCCCCATACATACATAACCCCCCACCCACTAATTCCTCTCTTAACCGTCCTATCACTCCATTTCCCTCTCAAAATTTTAATTTTTTATTTTCTCTTTCATCCTTAACTTTTTCTATTTCATTTTAACTTTTACTTTTTCTTTTATTTCCTCAACTTCTTCACTCTTTCTCTCCATAGTCGATCCTCCACTTGATGACCCGAATCCTGATCAGTATCGTTCTGAGACACCTGATTCACATCATTCCAAGACCCTGAATATCTATATACTATCCCTATTGAAGAAACACCAAGTCCCGTTCCTGCACCACGTAGTGGTCACCGCACCAAAACCATGGCTGGACGTAAGAATATTGCACATTATTACTCTACTTCTTCAGAGTCCAGCCCAGCACCCCTACGCAAGTGCACCAGGAGAGGAGCTGCTAGTAGCTTCAAGGCAACACCACCACGCAAATCCTAAGGTACCTCACTTGCATTCATTTTCATTTAGTTGCATTTCATTGCATGGCATTTAGTTTATATTTAGTTTATTTCTCTTTAAGCATTGAGGATAATGTTTCCCTTAAATTTGGGGGAGGTATTGTTCTTGTTAGCTCATATGCATGATAGCATTAGCGTAGTATTATGCCATGGCATCGGTAAATGGTAGGACAATTAGATAGAATGTTTTGAGGATACCCGATGATGATGATTTTGTTAGGCTAGAATTGGAATGTAAATGACTGTTGAGAATGATAGAACTCACTCTAGGGCTTGATACTTTGTAAAATATTTTACACGATTTGTATGTTCTCTATACTTAGAAAATTTGGAAAATTTTTATGAAGGAACTCTAGTTAGTTTTGGCATTGAAATATAGTATTGTGCTTAAATGAAAAATAAAAAACAACTCCCTTATATATGAAACTGTGAATAAATGCTTAGGTATAGCTGTAGAGGGATACTCCTCTTTACTGTGGCATTGCCTTGAATTCTCTTTAATAAATGGCAGCCTTGTACATATGAGTGAATGAAAAAAGTCACAGGATGACTCTACGTAACTAGATTGGGGGTGGAAGGTATGCTCCATTTCACCTAGAGTGTGGAAGAGTAGGTGTGATGAGCTGACTCCCTTCGTAACATCATTTAAAAAAATTAGTAAAAAGGGAGTAAAATGTGCTTAATGAATAAGTAAATGCCTTGAAAAGGGGACTTGAGTAGAAATTGTCTAAATTTGCTAAGTATAGATTAGATACAATCGCACACACACATGACCACAAAGAATCTTGACCTAGGGAAAAGTACTTGAATTCTTGATATGTCTAGCATGTTGAAGCCTATTTTTCTGAGGGTTGAAATTCAATTTTGTCCTACTGTTCTATTGTTGAAAATTGTCATGACATTCTGCTTATGTAACTGCTATCGATTGCTTGAGGACAAGCAATAGCTTAAGTTTGGGGGTGTGTTAACTTCCTAAACAATGCTACTTTTAAGGCCTCTTTCACTTAAGTTATTATTTGTTTAAAAGGCCATTCTAGTCATCTTAGGATCATGTAGTTGCATATAGTTATATTTGTGGCGGTAGTGTAATGGTGTTGAATGAGAGAAGGTGCAGTTGTTTGTGGTGTGCAGGGAATAGCAGGAAAAAAGACTCTTTGGGAAGTAATGTCACGGCATCACACGTTGCTGAAGCAGATTAAAATGCCTTGGCATTTCCGGCGCATAAAAAGACAAAAAGATACAGCTGTACGAGGACAGCTAGTGCTGCACGTGAAATGATTGTTGTAACCGCCTACCAGAGAACCACTGCCATTGGAGGATAAGGTTCACACTTATGGTGTGATTCTAGGGGTATGAGGGGTATTTTTCACCCAACAACCTAATCATTACCCCTAGATATTTTTTATTATATATGACACCTCAAGGGAGAGAGGGAATATGACGCAAGATACACACGCATAAAGCAGAAAAATGATATTTTTATTCTTCTTTTTACCTTCTTCTTCCTTGGATTTTCCTCCATTGATAAAGCTTCAAGGAGTGGCGAGCAAAGTGCCGAGAGGAGCTAGTGAGCTAAGGTGGTTCATTGTGGCCGAGGATACCTCTGATGGCGCGCGTCGAAGGCTTCTTCTTACTTTCCTTTGCTGCTATTTTTTTTCATTTATTTGCGGGTTTTTGGAATGAATATATTCATGACTTTGTGTTTGGATATTTTGAACCCCACCATGAACTAACTTATTTGGTGGTGGTTAGTTTTATGGTTGTTTAAACTTTATTTTAATGATATATTTATGTTTATCTTGGTTATTTGCTTGCTTTGCTTGTGAATACTTCACCATTTAAGCTTGTAAGAGGCATGAGAGAGTCCATTTCTTAGATGAAGGTTAGGTGTTCGAGAGAAACCTAAGCTAAAAATACTTGTAGTATTTGAGAGAAACGCAAGACAAGATCCTCATAAGCAATGGGCTATAGTATTTTCAAGGGGCTTTGAACCGGCCTGGGAATACTCTAACCTAATCCCTTAGATCTTAAGAGAGACTAGGATAGGATTTTAACGACTAAAAAGGGTGTTTTTATCAATAGGGTAGGTTGGCCAACATCGTTGAGTGAGAGCAGATACCTTGGCATCCTATTCTATTAGGTTCCTTTGTGAACACTTTAGGAAAACCCTGTCGAGTAAGTGAAGTCCAGAAAACTTAAATATACCTGAGAGATAAATTTACATCCTTAAATCAATCCCTACCATTCATTCCAGTGGAAGCTTGTCATGAGAGGATTATTTCCTTATCATTTTATTTGTTATTTATTATTGTTTTTACCATTTCTTATTGCTTCGACATTACACCATTTTCAACATTAAACATTTGTTCTTGCCATTGTATTTCCATCTGCTACACAATCACAACATCACTCCATATCCACCTTCATACACTTTTCATTTGTCGTGACATTTGTATATATTAAAACTAACTAGACATAGATAGATTAGTGTTTTGCTTTGGTTAGACTTTTGTAATTTCACCGAATCCCTGTGGAGACGATACTCACTCATCACTGTATTACTTGAGCGATTGTGTATACTTGCACATTATTTGCGTATAATTTTATAGTACTTACAACATGAGACATATATCAAGAGAAATTACATCATAAACAGAGCTTAATTGCGAAAAATGTATCGAATCATGAGGTTAATAAGTGAAAAACATTTTACTAGGTTCAATTTGGTAAAACAGACCTAAAAATGGACAAGAAGTCAAAAAAATCAGGATATACATTTCCGTAAAAGTCAACAGCCGGTCAATGGCCAGTCAGCAGTCAATGACTCACCCAGACGACTCAGCTCAACTCGTTCGGCTCGGCTCAGATCGGCCCAACCGGTTTAGACTGGTTCAACCGATCATACTCTCCCTTAGCCGATAGGTAATGCCCACACGCAGGGAGTAGCACGTTCGGCAGCTCCGGTCATCGAATCGACATGAAATTTTCTAGATCAGTAGATCGACACCTCGGGATTCTTATACATGCATTATTTTTTGACAAAATGACAGAGTATGGAATTTTAAAATGTTTGAACTTTTCCAACGGTAACCAACGAGTGACAACGGTGGAGCAACGACAGCGCGATGATTTTGGTCAGGTTTTGAGTGTACGACAATGGCAAGTCCAACCACACTAGTGTGAGGCTAACCGATGAGTGATGTGGCTAAAATCGAAGAAAAACCCATGCGCGATAAGGGTTTTCAGCGAATTTATTTAGTTTAATTTACGACAATCGGTGGTACTACTCGGCAAGAGGATAGAGGGGTTTTGGTACCACGTGGTTGGCACTTCGTGTGATGCTGGTGGTGTAAGCCACCTCCGGTCGATCACTGGTGAACGGCGGTGAGTGGCTTTGGGTAAAACCAATTTGGTTTTGCTATGGTGTTTCATCAGGGGAGTTGATTCGTGGATAAGGCATAGATTTGGTTCCACATGCTAAAAAAATGTGGGTTTAAATCCCACAAACTATATTTTTTTTATTCTACACTGAAAAGGGATGTGTAATTTCAAACTTGGTCCCTAAACTTACAAAATTTTGAAAACCACCATAACATCATGATGTTATAAATTGATCCCCAAATTTGATTAAATAAATTTAATTTAAAATTAAGAGAAAATTAGAGTGTTAAATATTTTTTCCATTTTTCCTTTTCCTTCTCTCTCTTTCTTCTTATTTCCTCTCCTCTCTCTATTCTCTTTAAACGGGGAGAACCCGTGGTGGCACCGTCCGTCGCCGGTGGCCACCAAAATTCATCGGGTGCCTCGTTACGTCACGGTGAGTTGGATCGAGGCTCAGATTCACGAGATTTATCCTTATTCGTCGTGAAATAGGCCGAGAACTCCTCAACTTCTCGGGCCCTTATCTATGTCATTCGTTGTTGGATTGAGCCACGACCGAGGTATGATGTTCCAAGGGTTTCTTCGAACCTTCTCTCTATTCAGATTGATCGACAGAGAGTTCCACCGTTGACGAGAGGCTTCGGCCCATCTATAAGCTTCTCCTCTTTTTGATTCTCTTTTTTTTCGAATCTCCCTGATTTTTTTTAACTCTCGAATCTTCTCCATCCTTTTCGATTGGTTTTGGTCCCCTCTTTATCTTTTCTTGCCTGCTCCTAATTGAAGGGTTTGGTGAGGCAAAGATTATAGAGGTATGAGACTCTAGATTTTTAGGAGGATGGGTTGAATTTTTTTATTAAATTTGATTTTGATTTTTATGTTTTGATTTGATTTTATGCTTGATTTCTTGGAACAGGAAAATGATCGACAACTGTCAGAGGCTCATCGGGGGCGAATATTGGATTTTGATAGTGACAAAGGTGGTGGGAAGCTGGTGAAGGTTTACAGTTAGGTTTGGCTAAGTTTAGGTTGTATTTGGGTGGGTTTTGGGTTTGGGTTCTAATAATACTACTACTACTACTAATAATAATAATAAATATATTGAACTAAAAAAATGGTGATTACAAGTAATCAATAAATAAATTTTTAAAATATTTAGGGTAAATTACACAAATGGTCCATTGGTTAAGAGGTGTTGTGTTAGGATATGAAGAGGCTCAATTGAATAATCGAAAATGTGCAAAGGGGGTTAATTGACAACATTTAATTAGGGAGTAAGGAGAGCAAAAGATAGAAAATTTTGGCACAAGGATTTAAAGTGGTTTGACTTATCAACCAAGTCTACATCCACTACCTTAGCTCTTCACTAAGGATTTTCTAACAAATTCACTAATTGTTCTTTCTTATTCAAGGATTAAGAGATAACCTTTACAACTTCATATCTTTTGAATTGGCGAAAATAGAACCAAAACCCTTTTACAAAAGAAAAAAAGAAGTAAACAAATAAACCTGTAACCCCCCAGCCCGATGCGGGTAACCGATCTGATCCGGGAAGTCACATTAGGGCCACCGAAGTGACACTGTAAAAATAGCAGAAAATTCAAAACTTTTATTGAAACATGTAACTTATAAAATCAGTTGTTACAATTTAAAAATAAAACAGATTTACAAACTCGTATATAAAAAAAATACAATTACATGCCCCCTAATCACATGTACCATACTTTGCAACAACGACGAAAGAACTCCCTTACTGAAGTCGATAGATGCACTGGTACAATTCTTTTAACCTAAAAATGTGAGTAATAGAGTGAGCTTTGGAAAGCTCAATAATACAGAACTACCAGATGATGCTGATGAACGTGTAGATACAGATAAATATATTTTCCTTATTGGTTCAGATATTTAAAGATCTTTATGTTGAGCTGAGGTCCATTGATATCGCATGTAGTAATAAATAATATTCATTTCTGATGGAAATATTTCGGATGTCTAGGTTCAGGAGATCAGAACAGGTTTTTTAGTGTGTTCCCAAAAAACCATGTAACTTTTCAGATCTTTTTAAAACATATATATATATACCCCCATCCCAACACATCATAATGTGTAGGTTCCCCAGAACCATACAACCAACCCAACACATCATATAAGGCCCTGAGCACAAAGCCGAGGAACCTGTGAAACTTCTTCCTTCAACAATACCCCTCAATTAAAACATTTTCCGTCCGTAAAAGGATATATCAAAAATCAAAACATAAATCAGGTCAAGTATCATATCAGAAATCAGGTCAAGTAACAGATCAGAATCCAAGTCAAGTATCAGATCAGAATCCATGTCAGATATCATATCAGAATCCATGTCATGTATCAGAACATAATTCAAATAAAAAATCAGATAAAATATTCATGTGAGTAGGAAACACACCAGAGTTTATGGATATTATTTAGAGGGACTAGATAATCTTATAAGGCAGAGAAACACGGATCTTCAGTATGTCGATAGAATATTGGAATTTAGAATCACTATTGGAAGAGTTCATTAACCGACAGAATCATCAGTTATTCAGAATTTGAATTATCAGGATCATATCTTATTCGGACAGTTTTCAGAAGCTGTACGCAATCAGAAGGGTATTCAGAATCCTTTACATCCATGTCAATTGATCGGATAATCGAAAAACTTGAGAATGAAGATTCAGAACCTTAACAATCTATGTCGACTGGTCAATTCATTTTCCTTCTAGGGTATTTACTCTTTAATACCACAAATTCTTGTCCATAGATCATCTTCAGAATCATCTCTGAATAGATATTCCAATGGTCTTTATTTCATTTCCAAGGTTCCACTATATCATGAAAATACTGACGTGCTTGATTTGTAGTTCATGTTCCATAAGGGCGATACATCATGTAAATTCATCTGAATTTCCAGGCTTAACCTAATCACTTACTTAATCCTCAATCATTAAAGTTACTTAGTTCATTTAGCATCCAAGTCCCTTCCAGTTACTTCAGAATTTTCCAGAGTAATACAACGTTCCTGTATTTCAGATTATATTGTACTTCAGATCCATTCAATTTGGTCTTCTTGGTTGATTTTCCGAACAAACGTCCAATTCTTAATACTGAATGCGATCTAGAATTGAGCTGAACTGAATACTTCCAAAATTATCATCGAGCCAAACTTGAGAAGACAAACACGCATTCAAGTAATATTTATGTCGTTCAGGTACTGATATATCATTATGGTTGATCGGCTCACTTAAGCTGTGTTCCATAACTTTTAAAGGTAGTCCAACACCTATGCTTATTTGGATTCCTTAATTAATCCAAGACATTTACTTAGAATAGGACATAAGGGTATTTTGGTATTTATTTTTATTCTATTTATTTCAGAGCTCGAAGATATCCAATCATTCTTGAGCTTGATGGTATTCTTGGGTCATTTCCATTACAGGGGTATTATGGTCATTTTACAGATCTACGGTATTTCAATCTTTTCCTGCCATCTGGTCTTATTATTTAATTCAATCTTATCATTTACTTCAGTCCTTTCGAACAATTCTGATAGCAGAATACCCCCAGATAAATTATTCTTCAAGTATTTACTCATTATTCGAATATTTACGGGTCAAGTGTCTTCTCAGATTTTACAAACGAAATATCAGGAATTTTCCTACACTAAGTCAAGATCTTAACAATTAAATCCGTACTTAATCGAGTTAAGTACGAATCCCCTAAGTATTTTCTCATTCAGAGTCAACTCAGACTATTCTACCTCTTAAGGGCATTTCCATAATTTCTTAACAAGATAATTTCGATATTAGCTCTTAACGAAAATAATATAATTTAGAGATCCTATGATTAATTGCTTTCTTGAATACTCTCTGATCTTGAAACGGTTCTCTTAACAAACTTCTAGTATCCTTCACAAACTCTCATAGGATTAAAACCGGTTATCTATAATTTCCAAATAAAACTAACATTTCTTATGCACATCAATATTTTTATCAGATCAATATATCTGTAAAATCCTCTTATCTAACTTCCATATTCAAATCTTGTCTTTTTATAACATAAGGGTATTTTCGTAATTTTACCCTACCGGAGTATTCTCATAATTTCTCATCCAAGTACCTTTAACATTTAACCTTTGATGAAATAAATTATAAGTTGCAGATACAGAGCTGATTTCTTTATCATTAATCACAAACTTGTAATTTAATCTAACAATTCCTCAATCTCTTATATTAGTCATTCGATCCGTAATCAGTTACAAAATTTCTACCACATCATATCGAGTGTATACATTATTCAACTCCACCAAAGTGACTAACATTATCTTGTTCATGCATTTATCAATATAAACATGTTCCATAAAGCATAAAGAGGTAGTAAAGTATTACCTCGATTTTCGTGCAATACTGATCGACCATAAAAATTCCATTCGAACACCTTTGATCTTGAATTCAACTTCTAATAATTCCTCAGATACATATCAACATAAATTATATCAGAAACGGAGCTTAATTGCGATAAACGGATCGAATCGGGTGATAAATCAGTGAAAAACATCTTACCGGGTTCGAATTTGGCAAAACCGACTTCGGATTCGGATTCAGGACGTCGAAAGCATAAAATATGACTTTTCCAAAATTTGAAATTTTTGGTCAAAATCAAAATCAACGGGTTTGACCGGCAATTTTGAGGCCTTCGGGTCCGAATTTCGAAAAATGGACTGCAAAATCGGATTTGGAACGTCGAAAAATGTCAGGATATGTATACTCGGTCAAAGTCAAAGGTTGTTTAATTCCCGGTCAAAGCCAGTCAAAGTTTTGGTCAATAGTGGTCAACGCCGGTCAACGGGTCGCGTCAACGGGTCGTGTCGGGTTGTGACCGGTCAAACCGGTCAACTGTGCACCAAAACCGGTCAAACCGGTCACTTTTGTCTTCCCCACACGCGCAGTGGCGGCGCGTGGGGGCACGTAAATAGTGTCCTGATATCGAAAAATTCCCGGAAAAATTCCTAAAAATTATTTTAAGCGATTTTGAGATACTTACAAAGCTCGGTTCAAATTTTTGAACGGCGGAGAGCTCGATTTCAACGAATCGGAAACTTTGACTGCTTCACCTCCACACGCGCCGCCGCCGCCAGAGAAAAGGGAGGACACCGATGGACTCAGAACGGCAAAAGGAACATGATGGTGCGGGAGGTGTCGTAAACGGATGACCCGATCATCGTGAATCGATGAAAAACCAACTAAAATCGGGTTATTACCGACGATACTTCCGACAGAAATTAACGACGAACGGCGACGATTCATGACAAAAGCTTTGAGGGGTTTTGTTCCTCGC